TGACTCATACCAGTGTTTTTACATTGGCCTCTGCCCCACTGCAGCGTATTGTGATCAAGAAGCACAGCATGGCATAGAGACAGCAGTATTGAATGTGTGAGGAGGAGGATCTCCGCTGTACATGCTGGAGATTTGCTTCCCTCATTGTCCTTTTAAAGCTTAACTCCAGCATAGAACACCTTTTATTTCTGGTGAGGGCAGAAAGTGAACTCTCCAGAGGGGGGACACTGCCATAGAACCCATTTTTTACTCATTAAAAGATAACTATGGGGGTTTTCCCCCATAGTTCTCCTAACGGCCACGGGAGGACATATACTAGCGTCCTCCCGTGACACAAAGCTCAGTATATAGCGGGCATACTGAGAGCACCGCAGCCAGGACGGATCCCGACAATGCGGTCGAGATCCACCCAGCAGCGTGAGTGACAGCTGGTTCTGCCTATTTAGAGGCAGAGCCAGCTTTACCCGTCCCCTCCCCCGTCCGTTCCGCCAGTCAGCGCTGGAGGATCAGAGCAGGGAGGGGGAATCCCTGCAGGGAGCCATGCCTGACAGTCACCGCGCTCTGCAGGGAGATGATCGAGAAGTGAGCAAGCGGTGGTATGTGTTCGCTCACTTCCCGATCTATTGAGCCGACCTGCGACAGTTTCATTGTCACAGGTCGGCTAGAACTATGAGGATGAGTGATTTACAATAGGGAAAGGTTAGATTACAGAGTGCGACTTCCTACCTCAGTGACCGCCATTTCTTGTCTGCGACGGTTCTCATTCATCCAGGTCATGATATACCTGTAAGAAATAAATCCAGGCAATTGGACGTGCTGTATTTTTCTTGAAGACGTTTCACTGGTCATCTGACTATCTTTCTCTGAATTGAGAAAGCTGGTGGGATGACCAACGAAATGTCTGCAAGAAAAATGCAGCAAGTCCAATTGCCTGGATTTATTTTTGTTGTTTTACAGATAATCTAATTTCCTTCCTATTGTCACAGGGACAGGAAGTGAGCTGAAATCTCATGGACAGGGTCATTGGCAGTAATTAACATTTGAGTCTATCCTAAACATTAAAATGGCTGGTGTTGGGCTGTGAAAGCTTTTCTTTGTGATTGCCGGACAAAGCTGCTCCACACTGGGGATCAATGTAGCGTCATATCACTGCTGTGCTTCCTGTTTAAAATACAATGCAGTACAACATGGGTTGCCTGTAAGGGCTCCGACCAGTGTGTACTTCATACATTGCCAATTTCTCACATGCCCCCCTTAGACCGCAGGTAGTTTTAACAATGGTACCAAACCAGTTCACCAACAACCAACCAAAAGATGAAACTTTATAAACCAAGAAAACCCAGAAATAAAACACAAGGGCTCTACAATTTGTTCCATTTATTGAAGGTTATTGGCTTTGTGTGCAGAAGACGTACAAATGCATAGACATTAAACACAGAATACTGAAAACAGATCATTGAACTGGCTTTGTTATGTTCTGTATGTATATCTGCTGAAAAGAATTCTGTTGTTTCTACCAGTACAAAGTTCTCCAAGTGACAGAAGAATGATATAACAGTCTATACAAAGAAACAACGTTGATAGCCACGGCTTCTGGTGAACCAATACAGATGATTTCCCACGTAAGTGCACAACAACAATGTTTAGGACATATGGATGGGCCCATCTACTGCTGGTTTCTTCCTCCCTGTAACTAATCAGTACGGCAATGCAAAGAGCAATGAGAAGTCTGATCTCCGCTAAGTGCATTGCTTGGGTCGTCCACGTTCTGTGTACGGCTTTACCGCTCATGTTAAAGTGGAGTTAGGTATGTGATGTGTTCCAAAAAGAAACTATGCCCTCCCATATTCCAGTGTAAAGGGGAACTGTGCGGATAGCAGTTATCGGGCCAGAACAGAGGCTGCCATCAGCTAACATCCCCCATGAATGGTGTTATTTCTGGGGCAGAGCATTACTCACTGTGACATGTTCCTTTCCAGGAGTCAGCAAAGCTGGATGGGGAGCTTTGGCTGTGCCAGATAACAGCCTTAAAAGTCACAGGCCAATCACTTCTGGGTTCAGATATCCGGCAGCTCCATACTGTCTGCATGTCACAGAATTACTATAAATGTCTCTGGGGCTGCAGCTAGGTGGAGCAACTGGAGGCCAAATCACCATAGAAGTGCCTGACATTAATTACCTAAGTATGTCAATCACCTAATAGGTCCTGCCTCAGAGTAAACCGCTTCTGTTAGCCAGGGAACCTTCTTCTGTGGCTCTCTTAAAACGATTTTACATTGTCAGTATAGGCCCAGTGCAACTATGCCCAACCAACTGGCACACTTGCCCAATGCAAGTGCCCCCATAATGGCACTGAACAGGGAGGACCTCTATGCAGAAGAACTCGTATTTCCACACAGCAAACGGCCTCATTTACCAAAGCGTCTGAAAGAACTGGAACCAATCACATTACAACGCCTTTTATTCTAGGGAACATTATGGCTGGCATCGCCCTTTCATTATCTAAAGTCAAGCACATACTTTAATATACTGTACAAAGTACATTTCATAATGGAAGAACATTTCTTGGAGGGAAGAAAAAGAAAATGTATATGGCTGAATAGGAAAGTTGCAATGAGGTAAGGCAGAAGCATTGAGATCCCCCGAGGACGAGGACACTGACCCTTCTTTGAGGCACTTTAATAAGTGAGGCCCGCTCTTCCTCTGTATTCATATTTGAGATTACCACTGCTGTTAATATAGCACACTTCACACTCCCCTACTATAGAAAGTTTTCTTCCTATGAGATCACTTCGGCAAATTATAACATAGTGCAAAGGAAAAATATACTTCTATATATATATATTCTTGTTAGTGAAGAAAAATAAAGGCTACATATAGTATCTGAACTAATGGAACTATATATACAGCAGCAGCACCTTTCTGGTTACACACAGTCTCTTCACAGCTTGAGAGACTTTCAGGAAAATCGGTGCGCAGGAAACCACGAGGGTACCTCAGCCAATCAGAAGATAAACCACACTAAATTCAGGAACAAAGACCCCGAAACGCCAGCACTAGAACTGTTCAGCAGAAAGCTTAACAGTCATATTTCAGCCAATTCTAACCCAGAGGCCTGTCTGAGACATGAGGACACGTGGGGCTAGTTAATATGGGCTTTGGGTAGTAGCTTACCAAATGCGCCAAGCGTTTATTGACAGGTCAGCAGCTAGCCAAGTTAAAGGCACCCTGTCACCAGAACATTCATTTCAACAACAATCTTCCCATAAGCTTATATGTGCATTTCACATATTCTATGCATGTTATTTACTTGTAAAAACCTCCCTTGTGTAGGCATAATGAGCATCCCTGATGTGGTGCTTCAAAGGAGAACTATGGGGTTAAGGCTTTTCCCCATAGTTCTCCTTAGGGTAACGGGAGGACACAAACTAGCGTCTTCCCGTCAACCTAGGCTCAGTATACCGCGAGCTATAGCTCGCGGTATACTGAGACGCCGCAGCCGGGACGGATCCCGACAATTCTGTCTGGATCCGCCCAACTGCGTGAGTGACAGCTGGCTCTGCTTATCTAGAGGCAGAGCCAGCTGTCCCCGCCCCCGTCCGATCCGCCAGTCAGCGCTGGAGGATCGGAGCGGGGGAATCCCTGCAGGGAGCTGGTGAGTGACAGTCACGGCTCTCTGCATGGATAGATCGAGAAGTGAGCGAGCGGCGGTATCTGTTCTCTCACTTCCCGATCTACTGAGCCGACCTGTGACAGTCTCATTGTCACAGGTTGGCTAGAACTATGAGGCTGAGTGAAAATCACTCATCTCATAGTTCTCCTTTAACAGCTTTGGCCATGGACTTTTAAAGTGACACTAAACTCAAGAGTTAAACCTTAAAAATACATTCAAATCCCTTCACTATTAACAAAAATGTATCTGATTTGTATATCACTAGGCTGTAGATCCTCCAATCATCTCTGAATTCATCCTGACACTGTCCTTCCTTCTGGAGGGGGGCTACTTATGTTCCCCATCGTCCCTGTGTGTGTTGTAAAGTAGTCACCACTCCAAGCTCACTCCTGTGATGGACTACAATCTCATGTTTCGTTTACTAATTTGTGTTGAGATTGTAGTCCATCACAGGAGTGAGCTTGGAGTGGTGACTACTTTACAACACACACAGTGACCATGGGGAACAAAAGTAGCCAGCCTCCAGAAGGAAGGACAGTGTCAGGATGAATTCAGAGATGATTGGAGGATCTACAGCCGAGTGATATACAAATCGGATACATTTCTGTTAATAGTTCAGGTACTTGAATGTACTTTTATGATTTACCTCCTGAGTTTAGTGTCACTTAAATTGAATAAAACCCTGTAGCTTGTTAAAGTCTGCAAATTCATTGGTGATGTCAGCTCCAACCATCTATGGATTGACAATAACAATGAAAGGATAATCTGTCATCTGCACAGTGATAGCGCTCTATTGTGACAGATTTAAGCACTAACAGCAAACTCACTTTCCCTTGTGGTGTGCATTCCTATACAAAAATCACAAATCTGTATCTTCAATCCAACTGGGGACTCTGCGCATGCAATTACAGTGTGCATAGTGCACTTACTATGGAGTTGGCTGCTGGTGCCACTGGTTCCCAACTGGTGATCACTGTCATTTAGCAATGGGCACTGGACAATGCAAAATTACCTTGTCATAAAATATCCCGCTAATAGGGAGCTAAAATTCAGTGTATCATTTGACCCGGAATAGAGAAATTCCTTGTCATGCTTCAGTGAGGTTCCTAGGCTCATTCTATAAAATGGCTCCAGCCGCGGGTAACACCAAGATGCTCACTTTAAGAACCTTGAAAACAGCTGGTATCCAAAGAAAAGAAAGAATGCTCTATAATCGCCCTATAAAATGAGAATGGCCTCAAAAGCCTCAGCTCTGTCCGCTATACCTCATAGCTGATGTATAGCCCAACAGAGAGTACTCAGGTCTTGACAACATAAGTGGTCTGCAGCTCCACGGACCATGAGCTCACTGACAAACCCTGCTGTGAAGAGAGCCGCTTAGTGTGGCCGACTGCTCGACTCCAGGTGAGTGCGCTTCCCCGGCATCAGCACTGTTCCAGGCTCCCCCTGGCCCGGGAAGGTCCTCTTGTGCGATCGTCCGTTCAAGGAGCCCCGCTGCCACTTACAGATGTCTTCATTCAGGATATCTTGGATATGCTGCACGATCAGGTTTATGGCGACTGTGGAAAGAAGAGACGTGAAGTCATTTATGGCGTGCATCCTTCCACTACAGAGATGAGGGGATTTGCTGAGTAATCGGACACATTACAGGTAAACCTCATACAGCATTTTCAGATCGGATCCGCAATCCTCTGTGCAATTTAGGAACTTGGATCTCCGTGCTACTCAGCAGATCAACTGGCTAAGAGACTTGAAGTAAACCTTTTTCCTTCGAGGAATATTCTAGTTTTGTCCACCTGTTAGTTGCCTTACTCGTATGCTGATCTTTCGGCATTATTACTTTGTCACTGACCCAATGCAGGTACGCAGATCAGTGAATCAGTTTATAGTCAGAGCTCCTTATCCATAACTTGTTCCGGGTTAGTGACTCAACACAAAGGATGAATGAAGAATGACCAGAAGCCAGCACTGGCAGCCTCCGTGTTTCTCTCAGGAAAGGATGACAATGAAAAGAAAACCTGTACTGAGATAATACATAATGGTGTCACTGCTGAACTATGTTTGAAAATTCTGGTTGCCTGGTTGTTTGTATTCAAGCTTTTGGAACAACATAGAGTCACTTGGAATGATTTTAGGCCCCAGAGAACCATACAATTACTTTCTTAACCCTTTCATTGCTGGGCCAGCTACAAAAAAAAAAAAATCACTCTAAAGCTGGCCATACACCTTACAACCATCGCACGACTTTCGTTATGCGATGGTTGTAAGGTAATTAAAATCTCGTAGGATCTGCCCATCTTGGACGGGCAGATCGTACTTGCGATCATCGCAAGCCCTCCCCGCTGAGGGGAAGGCTTCTGATGATTCCAATGCTGAGCGGGGCAGTGTGCGCTTGCGGCATTTGTCTTCCGAGCATTCCACTAACTCGCCGAAAATCGTACGATTTTCGGCAGGTTTTCAAGCGTGCTCGGAGGACAAAAGACGTGCGACCGTACAGTAGAAACAGTCGCACACCTTCCATACACCTGCCGATTACCGTACGATCGCGGAATCACCCGCGATTATTGTACGATAATCGGCAGGTGTATGGGCACCTTAACATTTAGAAGTGATCAGGAGTCGGGAAAGATCACTTATACAACAGTCAGTAGAGTCGGCTGTCATTTTCGTAAAGCTCACAGCTGCTATTGCTGGTTCACTACCTCTAACCCACCATAACAATTATGGCTGTGGTAGAAAACGGAGTCCATTTCTCTTAGGACAGGTTTCCTTTAACATGCTTGGGAACATTTGGCCTCCCTTGCCCTCCCAGGTAAAGCTATACACCCCTCAGACCTTTGCTGGTTTAAGACCTCATTCACACGCGAAACGGCTGGCACGTACAGCTCCGTGGTGCGTGCACGGCCGTATCGGTCAGCTCCCGGGAAGGACAGGTGCTGCGTGTGATTAGTACGCAGTCCACGTCCTTCTCTATGGGACTACGCGTACTAATGGGGCTTTTCTATGGGGCTGCGTAATCACACGCAGCACCTGTCCTTCCCGGGAGCCGCCCGGTACGGACGTGCACGGAGCTGTACATGCCGGTCATTTCTAGTGTGAATGAGGCCTTAGCCTCAGCTAGGCCAGAGACGATTTCATTTCTCTTCCTTCTAGATATTAAGGGGAGCCCAATCACCCCTACATGAACCCTAACAGCGAACTTCTATTTACTGCCTCTGCTGGCAAATCAGTATCGTTCCCCGCTATCTCTTATATTGTAAAGCGCTGTGCAAACTGTTGGCGCTATATAAATACTGTATAATAATAATAATAATCTCTGGGGACTGCAAAATACATCCTTCTTGTTATAAGGAAGAGGAGTGGGAGAGGTGATCTGTAGACCCAACACAATACCTGCCCAAGAGAGACAAAAGATATTCCTCAACAGATACAGATATGTCAGTGAGCATTGTCATCCTATGAAAGGAAGTGTTACTAGCAGGTCCAAGTAAAAATAAAGGGAAATGGTCTGGAAGAAAAAGAAAACTGATGCAGCCAACATATCTAAGGTCTGGTAAGCTGCAATATATTAGTATTTTTCTACTCACAGTAAAAGCCTTTACTTGGAGTCCATTGAGGGACACAGGAAGTCATTCACTTTTGAGTTAAATTACCACCTACAGGAGGAATGCACACTGGGAAACGAGAAGAAAACCGTAGACCAGCCCAGGATAACCCCTCCCAGTACCAGCACGCCCCAGTTTTGTAGCAAAGCAGGACCAAGAGCAGGAACAATGATCATAAACAAAGGGGTGGACTGGTGTCTCTCAATGGAAAAAGAAAAGCATTTTACAGCGAATACAAAAATCCTACTTTCTCTTCCAATAAGAAATACAGAAAGACGATCATTTTCCAGACGTCAAAAAGCAGTCCACCTGAGGGTGGGCAACACAGCTAACAAATGTTAACATGCCCAAGTAGAAAGAACAACAAAACTGGGGTTGCCTGCAAGTCAAAGAGCTGCCTGAAAGACCTTACTCTTAAAGCTGGCACTACACAAGGCCCGAGTATCCACCTGGTAGAGTACGAGTGTCCAGGTGGCAGCCTTGCAAATCTGGGAAATAGATGTTTGATGCTGAATGGCCCAAGAAGCACTTACAGATCTAGTGGTGTGCACCTTGACAGGAGAGGGTGGAGTCTGATCCTTAAGATCATAAGCTTGATTAATAGTCTGTATGAGCCATCTAGAAATGGTGGAACGAGAGGCTGGTGCGCCCTTATGGGGACCATCCAGGATGGCAAAATGGGAATCAATCTTTCAGAAGGAAGCAGTGGAATCTCCCAACCTGAACTACATCCAGGCAATGGAGGGACATTTCCTTTGATTGAACTCGAGCAGGACTAAGGGACAGAAGAACAAACTCCTGGTAAGGATGAAAGGCAGAGACTACCTTAGGCAAGATGCAAAGACACTACATTGTCCCTATGCAAAAGGTTACTTGCAGGATAAGGGTGCCAGTCTAGACAATTGTCTCACAGAGGTGATGGCTACACGGAATGTGGTTGTAACATGTAACCTTCAACAGTTGTAATAAAGTTGTTTACATACAACAGTGGAGTCTGTTGAAACCACGTCATTTGTAGGCACTCTTCTCCTCCCCCCCTTCTGGTCCTGGAATGCATCAGTCAAACGTATTTTAACACTCGAAACGTTAATTCTACGATTCAAGACGTAAAAATAACGTTTCAGTTGCTAAAATAACGTCGAACACAAAAATAACAAATCCCTAACTCTTCAGTTGGAGCCTTAACAAGCATGTTAAATAACGATCGGGACTTCCGTGAATGTCATGTTTTCAAACAAAAAATAATGAGAGCTAAAGGAGAACTATGAGGTGAGGGCTTCTCACTCACCTCATAGTTCTAGCCGACCTGTGACAATGAGAGTGGTCGGCTCAGTAGATCGGGAGGTGAGAGAACACATACCGCCGTTCGCTCACTTCTCGATCCTGTCACGGCTCTCTGCCGTGACAGGGGAGGGGCTGGATTCCCCCCTCCCCCGTCCGATCCTCCAGCGCTGACTGGCGGAACGGGAGGGGACGGGTACAGCTGGCTCTGCCTCTAGATAGGCAGAGCCAGCTGTCAGTCACGCAGCTGTGCGGATCCAGACAATTGTCGGGATCCGTTTCAGCTGCGGCGTCTCAGTATAGGTATACTGAGCCTAGGGTGACGGGAGGACGCTAGAACTATGGGGGAAAGCCATTTGTCATGCTTTGTATCACACATATTTTAATTGTAATGATTATCAGGACGATTCACTAAAAACACATTATAGCTTTAGAAACACTCATTTAAAAAATTTAGTTCATTAATCAAAGAGGCTTCAAAAGAAGATCAGCCGCACCGCGAAGCAACAAAGTATGGAATGAATGGAAATAAAACATTGTAATGCCTCTATGGACAGGTTTCAGAATAATCTCTAGACCAGATGAAGTAACTCACCCATGTTGTCCACTCCACGTGGTATAATCACATCTGCATACTTCTTTGTCTAAAGAGAAGCAACATGAGAAGCTTAAAAACAATGTAAATGATTGTCGTATATACTTCTGTTTTGGGGCTTTTGTACACAGAAATTTTTTCTTTCCTGCGTTTGACATGCACATTAAATGCAGTCGACAGATCCCCATCTACCTTCATGGTGTAATGTTCTTAGGCTGCATTTGACGTTTGTGTTGCTTTTCACTGAACGCAGAATGTCCTATTGAGTTGTGTCTGGGGTAAAGGCACCGTATGTCGCAATCCAGCCTTTTGCTGTGATCTGCATTCATATACATGCACCTTGAGTGCCACTGCATTCATATACATGCACCTTGAGTGCCACTGCATTCATATACATGCACCTTGAGTGCCACTGCATTCAAAAGCAAGCATTTGACAACAATGCCTGTGTACACAAAGCCTGATGGTTTTATAGTCACACGTCTAGTGAGCAGGTCGAGCTCTGGGCTCCTCTTTACCGCTCTACTCTTAGCTGCTCTGTTGCAAAAAAATCCCTGTCTGGAAAACTCAAGCTAATATTTACACACATAACCGAGTCTGAGCAGTGACTTCTGCCCCTGCTGTGCTCAAAGGGTCAGTTATGAACGCGTACAGATCACATTTTTCTCCCCAATAGGAGCGAATCCCTATCGCCCGACGCCCGGGACATGCAGTTTTGGGCGCCAGGCGAGTCGTTTTTTTGTACATTCAGCCCTGCTCCTGACAAGTGCAGCATTATATAGGCAGACTAAAGAAGGTGAAGTATTGGAAAGAGTAGACAACACAGCAAACAACAACTGGACACCATTACCGGTAGAGAAAACTCTTCGAATGCTGGCTTCACAAAGGTGGTGTACTGGGTGAGAATCTGCTCCAGGTCTCGTCCCCTTTTCATATCACGTAAAACTGTCAGTAAAACATGAACAAACTACCTTTATTTATAGACCACAAAAAGTGTAATCAATCCACACATCATGTACTTCGAGCTAAGGTCGGTCTTTCCTATCTATTGAAAATTTAATTAAAAAAAATATTAAAATTAGCCAGTCTGGTGTGACAGCAGTTCAGTTATCCTCATTCATGTCAAAGCCAGTTTAAGGAGAACAACAGAGGGGCGGGCAGGTGGACTGTGTTAAGGTGGCCCGCTTCATTTGAACAGGCAGTGGTCTGTAATCTTTGGGCCGTTTTTGTTGCGCGTTTCCATTGGGATACAGCCTAGTAGCCCTCAGAAACGCGCGTTTGTATCCGCAAATCGCGCATATTCGATACGCATAGGTGTGAACCCAGCCTTAGAGTACAAGGAGTTAATTGTTGAATAGATGGGTTACTGTTTCCGGACCCAAAATGCATCCCAATGTATCCCCATGCTATTTCTGGTCTCTGTTCCCACCAGCGCAGTCCGTTCCAGACCAGACCAATACTGCTTGTCCTATTTTGTCTGGAATGCATCAAAAACGCATGGAACGCACCTTTAAGACCATTTTACGCACACACAAAAAACAATCGTGGCAAAAACGCAGTAAAAACGCAATGCACTATGTTCCAGGTCTGGTCCGGAAAATGGTGTGAACCCGGCCTGAAACAGCAATCCAGCCAGACAAGCAAACACGCATACTGCACTGAATGCTGGTCTGTATTTGTCATTGAGGCCTTAGTATAACAGATACTATAGCAGGGTATAAAAACCATATAAACAAAAGATTCTCACCTCTGCGGGAGAGCCTGACGTCAGAGTCTGTGTCCACAAACAGCTTAAGGTGAAACATGTTTCGGATCTCTTGGTTGTAGAAAGCCAAAATGCCCTCAAAGAGCAGCACATCAGGAGGATACACTCTCGTGGTCTCTGGTAATCTGGGAAAAGAGCAATGTAAAGCTCAGTGGCCACCTTCCAAGGCAATACCTTTATCTGTAATGGAGGATACTGATGCTGTATTGTAGCATTTAGAAACATACAAGAGCCTATTTTAGGGCCAGTGCACCTTGTTACAACGCTAAATGGCCCCCCCAAATTTCATTTTTTTTTTTTTTTAATTCTTTATTTTGCATTTTCATATTATAAACAGTGAAAGCCAAAAACAGAAGGCAGCACAGAAGGATATGCAGTTTTACATATTAGTATAGTCAGGCGTATAACATGTCGTTCTCTACGCAACATTACAACCGAGTCTCTCATGTAATATACTAATAAGGTACACGTGTTGCATCCGACTCACAGTCTCATTGTGTCAGGGGGGAGGAGGGGGTCAAATAGTCTGTGTCCTTTCGGCACACAGCCAGGTTGACCCCATCCATCTGTCTACCCACCGTGGCCATCCGCTGAACATTCGCCGGTTGCGTTAGTATTGTTTGGTAGGTAGAAGACTAAGGAGGAGAGGAAGAGAGATAGAGATCTGGAATACCGGAGGGGGGGTAAAGGCGGCAGGTATGAGGTAAGTTGAGGTCATAGGATGCGTGCATGGGGGTCAAGGCGAGGGTCTAACGGGGACCCGCTCAGGAATTGCGGTCATGTCCTAACTCATCTCAGATATGACAGGTGGTTCAGTAAGGCTAATCATGTCCATGGGATGTTGAAGTATCCGATGCTCATATGTGGTATAGGAGTTATTCCACCATCAACATACCAATTTCCTCGGAGTAGAGGAACTCTAGCCAATAGAACCATGTCTTCCGGAATGCCCGGTCAGTGTGGTGTAGCGTTGCAGTAAGTTCCTCCATCACCCGAATTTCATCTACCTTGCGGAGCCACATCCCCACTGATGGCGGAGATACACTTTTCCAGCACAGAGGGATGCAAGCCTTGGCCGTGTTAAGTAAGTAAAGTTTCATTTTTTGTTTCTCTAAAAGCAAGCCCTCGGCACCCGTGTTCCCGGATATGCCCCTTTGCTTGAGTTAAAAGGGTGTTTGATGATCAATCTTTTTTTTAACAGAAATAGTTTTTATTAAGGGTTTCATAGAAACAACTTTTCAGAGCATACAAATAACAAATCGAGCATACACAACATGCAGACCTTGGTCTTCAAAATGTCCAATGTATCCTCCGCCATACATAATGTAAATGATCCACATCTTACAACCACCGCGTAGGCCTCATCACCACTACCCCTGAGGACCTACGTTGGCCCGCTGGGGGGTTCACTCCAAGGCACAGAACGGAGAAGTGGTAGTGGAATAACCCTGAAAATAGGAGATGATCTATCTTTTTAAGAGACTTTGTCACATTGCCTGTTCAGGGTTTTTGTTCTGCCCCCCCAATGCTTCATTCCTTGTAGAAGACCTGTAAAATATCTGCTTCTTCCTGGTATGGGACAGTATCTGACCTTCACACTAGGGATGTTCCGATACCAAGTACCGTACTCGGTACAAGTACAGATACTTTTCCAGCTCCAAGACTAGGCCAGAGAAAAATGTAAAAGTTAGGAGGCCGCTGTCATTTGTAAGGAGCACACGGAGCTCCTGGGATTTGTACATCTCTGTTTTAATGTATCATTTTGTTTTTATAAACATATATAAAGGGATGCACCGATACCAGTTTTACAAATACTGATACTTGCCCAAGTACTCGCAGGTACAAGTACTTATACTTTTTTGTTTATTGTCATGTGACAGTTTTTGTAAAACAATACAGACTAATGATTTCAGGACAGAGGTGGAGCGCCAGAGCCAGGTCCCAGCTGCAACCGCTGCAACCCTGGTAGTTCTAATGAAAATGCCAAGTATCGGTACTGGTATCGGCGCTGGTATCTGAAGTGGTATCTGCACTGGTATCTGAAAAGTATCGGGACTGGTATCGGTGCATCCCTACCAAGCACCTTCCTCCCGGGATGCAGCTCTCAGGCCTGAGGGGCAATGGCCAGCACCACACAGTCATGTGAGGGAGGAAGCAGATCATTAAAGGAGAACTATGAGATGAGTGATTTCCACTCACCTCATAGTTCTCGCCGACCTGTGACAATGAATGTAAGCGCTGACTCCAACAATGACCTCTTATTTACGATTGTTGGTTGTTTAATATAACAAAACTCATAACGGTATATCTGTTTGAAAGGTGCAATAAAATACACGTTTAACCGGTGCTATTCTGTGCACTGGAAAAAATGTCATCAGCAAGTGTGTTTGAACTACAACACAAAAAAAAAACAACCATGTTTTGAAGGGAGTTCTGTAGTTCTAACAAACTTCCTTTCCTAGGGTGAATGAGCATTGTCACCCTAGGACAGGAAGTGTCTGTCTGACAGGCCAGGCCATTTTTCAGTGTTCAGCGCTGCAGTCCTTTGACTGACGTTTATTACGTCACGCAACGCTGTACTGAAATGAATTTTATACCATTTTTTGGGGACATATAGAGCTTTCCTTTGGTGGCATTTAATCACCACTGGGGGTTTTATTTTTTATTATAATTAGGAAAAATTACAGAAAATTTTGAAAAAAATAGTTTTTTTTAACATTATGTTAGGAAACATTTATTATTACCCATATTTTTGGTAAAATATAAAAGGCGGGGTCACGTCGGGTAAATAGACACCAAACATGTCAAGCTTTAAAATTGCGCGCACCCGTGAAATCGCGGAAAACTACCATACCCAAAATTGGCCATAGGCGACACTTTAAAAGCTTTTACCGCTCATCAGTTTAGTGCTAACAGTGATTGATGGCCCTAGAACTATTGCTCTCACTCTGACATTCGCGGCGATATGTAACATGTGCGGCGTAATGGGCGCAATCGTCTTTTTTGCACGTATGTGCCCCCGACGCGTGTATGTATGGGTGGGGACTTTAAAACATTTTTTTATTCTTTTTTATGTGTAACTTAAGGTTAAAAACACTTTTTCCTTTTCTGTCATTTTTTTGAACTGATCCTTTTTTTTTTTTCTCCTCAGGTTTGCAGCTCTCTGGTTAGGGGGAGGGGTTAATTGATCCCAGGTGTCTCTCATTAAGCAGGTGTAATATAAGCAAGTGCCCCACTCACATTGAGCTTGCTCACACAGGGCTTTGATCCAAGTGGCGTTTAAACAATTGAAGTTTGAACTGTAAGTACTATCTTTATTTTCATATCAATTATATAAACATTGTAACTGGGATGATGTATGGTTGAAGGGTTTGTTCAGTGCACACCGTGCCCGTGCCATATGTATACACAAATGAAGCCACAGCTCCAGGGTGACAACCGCTGTGACAGATGTGAGCAGGTTGCACTCTTTGAAGTTCACATTTGAGATCTGTAAGAGCGAATTGCAACACTGAGGAGATTTGACAACCTTGAGAGGAGTCTGCTGATCACTGAGCAGGCAGTTAATGGGGTTGATGTGGATGGTGGAGGGGTTAGTGAGGAAGATCAGGTTGGAAGCTGGGTTACTGTAGCTAGAGGGAGTGGCAGGGGCTCACAGAAGAGGAAGGCCAGCCCTGTGTTTGTGCACCCAAACAAATTAGCTAAGTTGGGTGAAGATGTGTGGGTGGCTGACTCCGGGTTGGCAGCTCTAGATGTCACTGCTGCCCCTAACAGCCAGGAGAGCTGAGAGCAATGCAGGAAGGCCTAGACAGGTTGTGGTAATAGGGGAGGACTGATAGAATAGTTAGTCGCTCAGATCGCCTCAACCTTTGCCATGTGGTGGAACGGGTGGACAAATTACTGGGAGGGGCTGGGCATGACCCAGCTGTCTTGGTCCATGGTGGGACCAATGACAGTATACATAGAAGATGGGAGGATCCTTAAAAATCAATTTAAAGACCTCGGGTGCTAGCTGAAGGGAAGGACCTCCAAGGTAATATTCTCAGGAATACTTCCTGTGCCATGCGCAACGCAGGACAGACAGCGGGAGCTTCGATAACTAAACGCATGGCTGAAGACCCGGTGTAAGAGGGAAGGCTTTGGGTTTCTGGAGCACTGGGCGGACTTTTCATTGGGGTGCAACCTATATGCTAAAGATGGTCTGCGCCTAAACGGAAGGGGGGCTGCTGTGCTGGGAGAGAGGTTCATGGGAGGGTTGGAGGAGTATTTAAACTAGGATTGAGGGGGAGGGATAGATGGAATATAATGGGGCAGATATGTCAAACAGGGGTCATATAATGGAGGTTGGAACAGGGGAAGGGAAATCAAACTGGATAAGCAGATTCCCATGTTGCAAACAAACATTGGAGATAATAGTACATCTTGGTGCATGAGGAGAACAATTATATAATTTGTATTGCCGAATCTTGGCTTGGTGCTTCACATGATTGGGCTGTCAATATTCCTGACTGTGCTCTCTTTCCTTGAGACTGGGTAACACCAAAAGGTGGCGGGGTTTGTCTCTATACTCTATATGAGAAGTGAATGTGAAAGAGGACTTTATTGATGGTGAGTGTTATGGTGCTGAGGTGTTATGGGTGGAGTTGATTGTTGATCCAGGGAATATCCGATTGCCTTATGGGATCAGGAAGGAATTGTTTCCCCTGTTGGAGCAAATTGAACCATGCTTTATAGGGGGTTTTTTGCCTTCCTCTGGATCAACATTGGGTAATTGTGGGCATAGCTTTCTGTTTAGGCTTTTTTTCTTTCATATCTCTATAGGTTGAACTCGATGGACGTGTGTCTTTTTTCAACCTGACTAACTATGTAACTATGTACTGTCTACAGTGTAAAACTGTTTATAGGTTCATTTTCAGGAGAATACATCAGTAGATAGGGACCCTGCCATAGGTAATATGGGGATGGAGCTAGGAACTTTGGTGATCCTTAAGAGCTTTAATAATCTAGAGGATTAATCAACCCAATAAAATATTCCTTTTTTGTGGATTTGTCCTTGAGCAACATTTTCCAAAGTGAGAGGTAGATTGGAGGATGAAACAGACCACTGTGACATTTACAATCCATGCAGAATACGGAATAGTTTTATATAAACAAAAAAATGACTTTAATTAAAAACAGAACTCTAGGAACTGGAGTTAAGAATATTTTTTTTAGCACTTTAGCATGCTGGAATATATAGAGATACACCGATCAGCCATAACATTATGACCACCCACATAATAATGAGTAGGTCCCCCTTTTGCCTCCAAAGCAGCCCATACCTGTCGAGGAATGAACTAAACTAGACCTCTGAAGGCATGCTGTGGTATCTGGCATGAAGCGGTCAGTAGCTGATCCTTTAAGTCCTGCAAGTTGCCTCCATGAATGGGACTTGTTTTCCCAGCACATCCCACAGATGTGTGATTGGATTGAGACCTGGAGAATTTGGAGGCCAAGGCAACACCTCAAACTCGTTGTGCACCTGAAACCATTGTGGAAACTGTTTCAGGGCGCATTATCCTGCTGAAAGAGGCCACTGCCACCAGGGAACACATTTTCCACGAAGGGGTGTACTCTTGGTCAGCAACAATGTTTAGGTAGATGGTACGTGTCAAAGTAACATCCACATGAATGGCAGGACCCAACGTTTTCCCTGCAGAACATTGCCTCTGCTGGCTTGCCTTCTCCCCAAACTGTATCCTGGTGCCATCTTTTCCCCAGGACACACACACACCTACCTTTCTATCAGAACCGGCATGAACTGTTTCAGTAATTTGAGCTACAGTAGCTCTACTATTGGACTGGACTACACAGGCCAGCCTTTGCTCCCCCGTGTGCATCAATGAGCCTTGGCCACCCATGACCCTGTTGCCAGTTCACCTGTCCACTTCTTACTGGGAACATCCCACAAGAGCTGCAGTTTTGGAGTTGCTCTCCCTCAGTCATCTAACCATCACAATTCGGCTCTTGTCAAAGTCACTCAAATCTTTACACTTGTCCATTTTTTTTCTGCTTACAACACATAAACTTCAAGGATAAAATGTTCACTTGCTGCCTAATATTTCCCCCCACTTCCAGGTGCCATTGTAGTGAGATAATCAATGTTATTCACTTTACCTCTCAGTGGTCATAAAGTTATAGCTGATCAATGCTTGTGAGAGATATAGATAGATAGATATCTAAGCTCTCTCTCTCATATATATATATCTATATATATATATATATATA